TATATATATATATATAATTTGAGAAAACAAAACTGTTAAATTGTCACTAACATTTCCGGACGGCAGGTGTTGGGCACAGTGTTCTTGTGTCCAGCACAGATACTATACACCACTTCCTCAGATGTGTTCAGACTTGGATATGGCAAGGTGCCTGTGAAATATAAAATTCAATATTTGTTATTTATTCTTCAAAAATATTTAACAAGTCAACCAAACATCTCAGGATAATTCTCACCGAATGTCTGCATTTCCCACAGCACAATACCAAACGCCCAGACGTCTCCCTTAAAGCTGTAGTAGTTGTTCCTGAAGTACTCTGGAGGATACCAGCGCAGCGGCACACGCTCCTATGAGATCACATTCATATCAGTGAGATGAGCAATGAGGACGTGGGACGGACAGGTGCGATTAGTTCACCTTGTGTTGTTTTTTCCTGCTGCTGCGTCTGCTCCTCATACGGGTCAAGTCTCTGGCCAGGCCAAACTCTGTTACCTTCACCTCCCATGGGAATCGGCTCACCAGAATGTTCCTTAAGGCAAGGTCACAGTGCACCACCTGAATGATACAGAAAATGTTCAAAATCATTCTTTCCATTTACCATTCATGTTTATAGTGTAAATATGACTCTCTGCTTGTTTAACAGAACAGCTGTTTTATGTTTGTGGCAGATGGTGATACCATTTTGGAGCGTAAGTGCTCCATGGCTAGGGCGATGTGGTAGGACGCGATGGTGAACTGGCTCTGCAGTTCAAGGTCGGCAATTAGCTCATCTTTGTTTTTCTGAACAAAACTGCGCAGGGTTCCATAGCTCATGAACTCCATGATCAGCATATACGGCTCTGAGGAAACAAGACACTGTTTTGGTCACATGATGGAAACAACTATTTAGTGATATTTGTTAATGATGTTACAAATCGTGGCTTGTTGAAGAGAAAAATATTACTTTTGTAATTGATCAGGCTTACAATTTTCACTTGGAGGACGATAAAATGGACCCCCACC